GGGGTGGGGGAGGCACTGCGGAGTGGTGGGGGGCGGCCCGAGAGGCTGGAAGAGGGTCCGGCCCACGCTGTGCCTGGGCTGGGACTGGTCCCGCCGGCGCAGGGTAGCAGGAAACTCTCTGCACACTCACCAGACCTGGGCTAGGACTGGGTCTCAGGATTGTTTAAATAAAGTTTATGACAGCTGAAGACACACTGCCATCAATCCTTCTCAGAATGCTTGCTGTGGCTGTGAACACATCTCCCGCCTTGCTCGTGCCCTTTCTGGAGCAGTTTCGGGAGCCTGCCCTTGTGAGTGTGTCTTCATGGCCGCCTCACCCTCCTGAGTAAATTCGAAATGTTTACAGCAATTTCCATCAAATAAAACCATTACGGTCTGTCCTCACCCACCGTATTCACCAGATCTGGTGCCGTGTGACTTCTACCTCTTCCCCAAAGTAAAAACGACCAGGAAACGTAAATGTGTAAATTGACTTTGGGACACAGAGGCAGCTGTGACGGTGCAGCTGAAGACACGCACGAAAGAGGACTCCTGGAGCTGTTTCAGAAAGCGGCAGGACGGGGAGGATCACTGGTTTGAAGTGAGGGGCGGACTCGGAGGGAGATCCTTGGTGGTTGCTGTCATTTAGACGCCATCGTATGTTCTATCAGACCTCATATTCTGTACCAGGGATGGCGACCCTTACAGAGCTTTCAGTGATGACAAACAGCTTGCGATGGCACACTCGCCACAGCTCACTCCCACTGTTCCACACGGGAGAGTGCCAGAGAATGCGCTGGGCAAACCGGGGTACAGAACGGACTCCTGGAGTTGTGACAAAGGCAGTTCCTCGAAGACCTGAGGCAGGGAGGGTGTCATGGCGGTAGTGCCTGAGTAACAGTCGCAGCAACAGTAGAATTTATGAGTAATAGAGAAATGCATGGAATTTGGGCTTAAGAACACACAAAAAAGTCTCCGCATCAGCTGGCTACAAGAATAGTCACAAGACTCAGAAATGAAGAGGGCAGGAGAAGGGTGGCCCTGCGAGACGAGGAGGGAGTTATCGGGACAATGGGAGATGACCAAGCGCACTTTCTGCGATAATCGAAATCAAGCAGTAGAGATGGGGGCTGGAGACTGGGTGTGGGTCAAAGGCGGTGGAGGCGGGGAGGAGAAGGAAGGAGAGTTACAAAGGAAAGAAAGGACGGAAGAGGAGCCAGCTCAGCAGCATAAGCAGCTGCATGGCAGGCGCAACGTCCTGAGCTTCATCACTGGTACAAGGAGAGAAAGAAAGAAAGACGAGATGAGACGAAACGAGACAGACAGGATTCTAAGTCAAAACGAGGGAGGCAGCGAGAAGATGGCCCTGCCTCTGCAGCTCAGGGCATCCCACCGAGAGCATGAAGCGCAGGACGTGAACTGAGTGCACCGGGGCTTCTACCCTTTTGATGTAGATTCTGCTTGGAAGCTGGTACCCCTCTTCCTTGCAAGGCACAGTTCTGCTCCTGGGGCTCTTCTGTGTGCCCTTTCCTTGCCACACTCCTGTTCTGGCAGGAAGGGAGGTGTGGGGAGGGCGGGGGGGAGGGGAGGGGAAGGGAGGCGAGGAGAGGGGAG